CCCAAAAAAAAAAACGTAAGGGGTACCACTGTCGTTTTTTTTTCGGGCCGAATTTTTGAGTTTCGATATCTCAGCTCTGGAAGGGGCTAGAGCCTCCATTTTTGCACTCAGGTCTAAGTCTCATGGCCCTCTATCAGAATTTGGGAAGATTGGAGAAACTTAATTTTTCGCCCAAAAAAAAAAACGTAAGGGGTACCACTGTCGTTTTTTTTTTCGGGCCGAATTTTTGAGTTTCGATATCTCAGCTCTGGAAGGGGCTAGAGCCTCCATTTTTGCACTCAGGTCTAAGTCTCATGGCCCTCTATCAGAATTTGGGAAGATTGGAGAAACTTAATTTTTCGCCCAAAAAAAAAACGTAAGGGGTACCACTGTCGTTTTTTTTTCGGGCCGAATTTTTGAGTTTCGATATCTCAGCTCTGGAAGGGGCTAGAGCCTCCATTTTTGCACTCAGGTCTAAGTCTCATGGCCCTCTATCAGAATTTGGGAAGATTGGAGAAACTTAATTTTTCGCCCAAAAAAAAAACGTAAGGGGTACCACTGTCGTTTTTTTTTTCGGGCCGAATTTTTGAGTTTCGATATCTCAGCTCTGGAAGGGGCTAGAGCCTCCATTTTTGCACTCAGGTCTAAGTCTCATGGCCCTCTATCAGAATTTGGGAAGATTGGAGAAACTTAATTTTTCGCCCAAAAAAAAAACGTAAGGGGTACCACTGTCGTTTTTTTTTCGGGCCGAATTTTTGAGTTTCGATATCTCAGCTCTGGAAGGGGCTAGAGCCTCCATTTTTGCACTCAGGTCTAAGTCTCATGGCCCTCTATCAGAATTTGGGAAGATTGGAGAAACTTAATTTTTCGCCCAAAAAAAAAACGTAAGGGGTACCACTGTCGTTTTTTTTTCGGGCCGAATTTTTGAGTTTCGATATCTCAGCTCTGGAAGGGGCTAGAGCCTCCATTTTTGCACTCAGGTCTAAGTCTCATGGCCCTCTATCAGAATTTGGGAAGATTGGAGAAACTTAATTTTTCGCCCAAAAAAAAAAACGTAAGGGGTACCACTGTCGTTTTTTTTTCGGGCCGAATTTTTGAGTTTCGATATCTCAGCTCTGGAAGGGGCTAGAGCCTCCATTTTTGCACTCAGGTCTAAGTCTCATGGCCCTCTATCAGAATTTGGGAAGATTGGAGAAACTTAATTTTTCGCCCAAAAAAAAAAACGTAAGGGGTACCACTGTCGTTTTTTTTTCGGGCCGAATTTTTGAGTTTCGATATCTCAGCTCTGGAAGGGGCTAGAGCCTCCATTTTTGCACTCAGGTCTAAGTCTCATGGCCCTCTATCAGAATTTGGGAAGATTGGAGAAACTTAATTTTTCGCCCAAAAAAAAAAACGTAAGGGGTACCACTGTCGTTTTTTTTTTCGGGCCGAATTTTTGAGTTTCGATATCTCAGCTCTGGAAGGGGCTAGAGCCTCCATTTTTGCACTCAGGTCTAAGTCTCATGGCCCTCTATCAGAATTTGGGAAGATTGGAGAAACTTAATTTTTCGCCCAAAAAAAAAAACGTAAGGGGTACCACTGTCGTTTTTTTTTCGGGCCGAATTTTTGAGTTTCGATATCTCAGCTCTGGAAGGGGCTAGAGCCTCCATTTTTGCACTCAGGTCTAAGTCTCATGGCCCTCTATCAGAATTTGGGAAGATTGGAGAAACTTAATTTTTCGCCCAAAAAAAAAAACGTAAGGGGTACCACTGTCGTTTTTTTTTCGGGCCGAATTTTTGAGTTTCGATATCTCAGCTCTGGAAGGGGCTAGAGCCTCCATTTTTGCACTCAGGTCTAAGTCTCATGGCCCTCTATCAGAATTTGGGAAGATTGGAGAAACTTAATTTTTCGCCCAAAAAAAAAACGTAAGGGGTACCACTGTCGTTTTTTTTTCGGGCCGAATTTTTGAGTTTCGATATCTCAGCTCTGGAAGGGGCTAGAGCCTCCATTTTTGCACTCAGGTCTAAGTCTCATGGCCCTCTATCAGAATTTGGGAAGATTGGAGAAACTTAATTTTTCGCCCAAAAAAAAAAACGTAAGGGGTACCACTGTCGTTTTTTTTTTCGGGCCGAATTTTTGAGTTTCGATATCTCAGCTCTGGAAGGGGCTAGAGCCTCCATTTTTGCACTCAGGTCTAAGTCTCATGGCCCTCTATCAGAATTTGGGAAGATTGGAGAAACTTAATTTTTCGCCCAAAAAAAAAACGTAAGGGGTACCACTGTCGTTTTTTTTTCGGGCCGAATTTTTGAGTTTCGATATCTCAGCTCTGGAAGGGGCTAGAGCCTCCATTTTTGCACTCAGGTCTAAGTCTCATGGCCCTCTATCAGAATTTGGGAAGATTGGAGAAACTTAATTTTTCGCCCAAAAAAAAAAACGTAAGGGGTACCACTGTCGTTTTTTTTTCGGGCCGAATTTTTGAGTTTCGATATCTCAGCTCTGGAAGGGGCTAGAGCCTCCATTTTTGCACTCAGGTCTAAGTCTCATGGCCCTCTATCAGAATTTGGGAAGATTGGAGAAACTTAATTTTTCGCCCAAAAAAAAAAACGTAAGGGGTACCACTGTCGTTTTTTTTTTCGGGCCGAATTTTTGAGTTTCGATATCTCAGCTCTGGAAGGGGCTAGAGCCTCCATTTTTGCACTCAGGTCTAAGTCTCATGGCCCTCTATCAGAATTTGGGAAGATTGGAGAAACTTAATTTTTCGCCCAAAAAAAAAACGTAAGGGGTACCACTGTCGTTTTTTTTTCGGGCCGAATTTTTGAGTTTCGATATCTCAGCTCTGGAAGGGGCTAGAGCCTCCATTTTTGCACTCAGGTCTAAGTCTCATGGCCCTCTATCAGAATTTGGGAAGATTGGAGAAACTTAATTTTTCGCCCAAAAAAAAAACGTAAGGGGTACCACTGTCGTTTTTTTTTTCGGGCCGAATTTTTGAGTTTCGATATCTCAGCTCTGGAAGGGGCTAGAGCCTCCATTTTTGCACTCAGGTCTAAGTCTCATGGCCCTCTATCAGAATTTGGGAAGATTGGAGAAACTTAATTTTTCGCCCAAAAAAAAAAACGTAAGGGGTACCACTGTCGTTTTTTTTTTCGGGCCGAATTTTTGAGTTTCGATATCTCAGCTCTGGAAGGGGCTAGAGCCTCCATTTTTGCACTCAGGTCTAAGTCTCATGGCCCTCTATCAGAATTTGGGAAGATTGGAGAAACTTAATTTTTCGCCCAAAAAAAAAAACGTAAGGGGTACCACTGTCGTTTTTTTTTCGGGCCGAATTTTTGAGTTTCGATATCTCAGCTCTGGAAGGGGCTAGAGCCTCCATTTTTGCACTCAGGTCTAAGTCTCATGGCCCTCTATCAGAATTTGGGAAGATTGGAGAAACTTAATTTTTCGCCCAAAAAAAAAAACGTAAGGGGTACCACTGTCGTTTTTTTTTCGGGCCGAATTTTTGAGTTTCGATATCTCAGCTCTGGAAGGGGCTAGAGCCTCCATTTTTGCACTCAGGTCTAAGTCTCATGGCCCTCTATCAGAATTTGGGAAGATTGGAGAAACTTAATTTTTCGCCCAAAAAAAAAAACGTAAGGGGTACCACTGTCGTTTTTTTTTCGGGCCGAATTTTTGAGTTTCGATATCTCAGCTCTGGAAGGGGCTAGAGCCTCCATTTTTGCACTCAGGTCTAAGTCTCATGGCCCTCTATCAGAATTTGGGAAGATTGGAGAAACTTAATTTTTCGCCCAAAAAAAAAAACGTAAGGGGTACCACTGTCGTTTTTTTTTCGGGCCGAATTTTTGAGTTTCGATATCTCAGCTCTGGAAGGGGCTAGAGCCTCCATTTTTGCACTCAGGTCTAAGTCTCATGGCCCTCTATCAGAATTTGGGAAGATTGGAGAAACTTAATTTTTCGCCCAAAAAAAAAACGT